TTTTTTTTGTATTTATACCCTCTTGAACAATGTGCTTCATCTCACCTCTCCATTTTTAACCTACTTTACCATCCACCCTCTCTCCCCACTGTTCCACCTCTACTTTAATAAGCATTTGTATTTAAGAGGGTGATATTTCTCCCGTGTATATTAATTTCTGAAAAAATAAGTCCTTCTACTTTTTCCTTAAATTCTTAAACTTAATTCTTTTTTCTTTAAGAACCACCAAAGATGCTGCTAAGGCTGCAATAAGCGCACTCGCCCTTTATATACTTCATCTAGCGAAATGCCCGCCCCGAAAAAGATACTCCTTTCGGGCGGAACCTCCCCGTATAGGCCATCATAGGGAGTTCCCCCCAACCCCGTTCCAATTCCGTGCTCACCTATTGCCAGCCCATGTTGGACTCTAGGCCCGTTTGAGTCAACACGTAAACATAATCCTAAGTGTATACAAGTTGAACTTGACCATAGAGATCTGTTGCAAGAAGACGAGGAGTTCGAAAGGCAAAAGCTTGTTGCAGAAATCGCTGAAGAATTGAGACCACAACACCCTCAACCAGAAGCTTTCAACCTATGTGTATGTCAAAGGAAGAACAACCTAGTCAGTTCAACGTGGTAATGCTAAAAAAATCTTGTGTCACTTTAAAATACCATTCAAATCCAGGGAAAGAAAAGGAGACCTAGTTGACAAACTTTCGTCTTTCATACAAGATTGCACGTGCTTTTCTCCAACAGCTCAGGAGTGAACATATGGATCCTTAATTTAGTGTGTTTAACAGCCGGCAAAACTTTTGGGATTTAACACTGAGAAGGACCGTAAACAATAACTATGCCTTTTTCTGCATGCCATTCCTCATTTTTACTGAAATGTTGTTAATTGGCGATAAACACAATGCTCTGTTAATACCACCCTAATGTTTGTATAGCCTATGGTTAGCAAGGGATCTAGGAAATGAAAGTACTTTGCAGGTGTTGTCCTATGGTGTCGCACGGTATCTCTGAAGTTGTTTGCGAGCTATTTCCAAAACATTAATTTTTGATTCTGTAATTGAAAATATTGTGCTAGTGCTCGTGAATAAGAGTGGCCGTGTCCAAGTGACTACTTTGTAGCTAATTGTCGTGTATTACACCATGGGCTGTCATATTAAACCCTATCCTCACGGTAACTCCCGGGGATACTGACCCAGTTAAAACGGTCGTAGAATGAATAAATACAACAGCACGGTATTTCCCACCCAGTAAAGAATCGGAATTAACAGTGATTAAATTGTATGATTATCAATAACTATCACTTCAAAAAAAATATAATCAGATAAAAGAACTGACCGATACACAGCCACTCTCGGGGAATGCGTGACGGCCGGCCGGCCACAGTAATTAAATTATTTTAATTCGCGTAAACATATCTTCTTCTACTACTTCTTCCTCGTGAAACAGACCTAAGGGGATTCTAAGTCATATATCGTTCGTGTTTTTCCGTGGAAAGTTCTAAGAGATATTTTCCCTTAAAAATGTGAAATATAAGCAGTTATGTTTCCTGTCAATTCAATTTGTTGAAACGACGCATCTAAGGCTAATTTGCATACGGAGAATGAAGTCGCGTTCTGATCGTCGACCAGGAAAAAAACCAAGAAAAAGCGATTACCAAGTTTTCTCCTCATGTTTTCAAAAGTCCAACATTTAAAGGGTCTAATGACATTTGGTGATAACTAGAAACGTTAAAACTGTGGAAATTAGTCGATCAAATGCGGACCGTTACAATTCCAGCTTTGCTGTCAAAGTGGCGAATTTGTAACATTAACGGAACTTTGTACAGCGCGCAGAGAATGAGTGCCCACAAATTTTATTGCATTAAGAAGTAGACTGGTCTTAGTACTTCTGATTCATCACAGACTTGAGTCTGGGTCAGGTGCCACTTTCGCGAAATTACCGTTCAGCTCTAGTTATGCAAATTACTTTTCCTGCTGAGCAAATTAACGGTCATTTAAAAAAAAATCATATCTCAGCCAAATTTCGACAGAATGCAACCATTAAAGTTTGACACTCTTAATGAGAGTTAAAACATTTGTGTGCAAAATAATCAGCTTATTCGGCTATGTAAGGTAGGTTTGACAGAGCCCTAAAAATTCACCAAAATCGCACCACTTCTGAAGGCAAACGGGCCAGTTTTAGGTGACCGAGAAAATCTTCCTGTAATATAGAGAAAAAATTGAGTTGGTCCAAATAAATGTGATATTTCTTCATGGGATAGGATAGTTATCTTCCACTGAAAAAATCAGGGCAATCCGTGATACAACGAAATTTGCCTTATCGGTTCTTACGCGGACAGCCTCTTAACTTCAGAATTCGCATGTTTGTGAAAAGTGCGATCCTAATTTGCGGTCCACAGTCTACCAGAAAACGCACTATTTTTTCCACAAGATGAAAAATATTCAGTTTTAAGATTTTCCTCATGGTATTTTTCTCTAACGTAAAGGAATAAAATCCTTTGCATTTTGAGACCTAAAAAAGTTTAAAGATTTCTCGCTCGCATGTCGCGTTCACCAGCACGCACTTCAAACAATGTAAATAGATGAAACGATCGATAACATATTTTTTACCTGATACCGATGCAAGTTAAAAATTCGCTCCAGTTCTGTTTGTCTCACCCAAGACGAACTTTTCTTCATGGAAGATAACTATGCCGCTTTATAACTCGTCCGAAGTTTTTGTGCCAGCTAAACAATATGGAAACACTATTCACAGTGACTCCTTGGATATTAAAAAGACTGAACGTGACGCACTATTATGCCTTTGTTTACTTCTGATCACATCTTCAAGCGAAATCTCTCTTTTGAAGCGATTCATCTCAATGCACAATAATTGACCCTTATATTAGTTAAAACCCTATGGTTCATTTATGTTAATGCTGTTTTTGCCCCTCACATTGACTGTGTTCGTTCGTATTCAAAACACCATTACGAAAATAAAGGTCGTGTCATGTGTGTTATGTTTCGAGATAAATGGATTATACGCTTTTTTAAGTTTCCATTTTGCGGTGACTTCAGTTTACATCTCCATAAAATGATAAAAGAAATATCAAGAAACATCACGAGAGCTGAAAACTTTTAAAGGCATGTTTCTGAAACTCGCTAATGCTGACATCAATATAGCGTGCTTGCTGAATGGGCGAAAACACAGAATTGTGATCACAAGATCATGTACAAATTTAATGATAAAAGCTTAGCAAGATACAAATGCAAACAAAAGCAAACCCCCTGAAACCTCGACGTGGGCTACACTTGTATGCTCTACTCAGTCACCAAACCTTGTCAGTAATAGCTCCTATTTTCCTCAAGTCGCTCTCTGTGAAGCTCCCGGATGGGATGTCCCGGTGAAGCTTTAAACTTGTGGGCGAAATTCTCAGAGTCCCTATTTTTGTCCGTGTCTTCTTTATCCTCAGTATCCGAAATTTAGACCTCCAAAGTGGCGTGTGTTACATTAAATAGAAGGAAATATTTAAAGGAAAAGCCAGTCTTCTAATATGGCAAAGTTGTCACGTCCCTCGCTCATGGACGTGCGTAGTGCCATTCATCGGCAACTGAGTTGTTCGCTTTACTGACTACGAAGGCTTACAATCAAGTCTTCAGCCATAGTGTCGTCAACTGGTGAAATACCTTGCTCATAAATTGTGCTTGTTAATTGCTCATGTACTACATCGATCGATAATTCTCTCTTTGAGTTCACGAAGCGGCCACGGCGTTCCAAACCTGACGCTCACAGTCATCTTTTAGTGTGAACCTACCGTGAACGGCGTGTCGGTTTGAATGCAAACCGAGCATTTCTCTGAGTTTCCCGGGCGTATGGAAAAGCAGGAATCCGGAATCGGGAATCGGAGCCGGAAACGGAAACGGAACCGGAACCGGAACTTAAATTGAGACCAAAGTAAACTGAGAAGCACTGAAACTAGTTCCCGATACCCGTGTGGGAATAAAATTCAAGATGGCGTCCTCTGTTATCATTGTTTTGAGAAATTTTCAGCACAGTGATCGTGATACCAAAGGTATACTCACATTCGGAAAGTGACTTGCCAAAAAAAAGGTAAGTGCATTCTACTGTTATTCCGTAGAAGGCATAAACTGTGACTGCAGCTATAGGTCGAGCAATTTTCGACAGATCGACACTACAACTAATCAGAAGCCGAATGACTGCGAAAAACAGCCATTATTAGTATGTGATGTTTAAGACCGCTGTGTTATTCATTTCCTTCCCTTGAGCCTAAGTTACTCATTTCTTAAAAGGGCTCCGTGTTTCATCCATTGTGAGGAAAAGGCGGCAAAGGGAGGAGGAGTACTCATGTCAATCATGATCCCAAGTTGCAATGCTCACGCGTATATGCGCCGTACGCAAAAAATGCGACAGTAAAAATATAGTAACAATAAATAAATAAATATAATGTGGGGATGAAAAGTCTTGATCGAGCAATAATTGTTAGTGACACTCTTAAGACAGAAACGTCTCCAAGTTTTATTTCTTAGGTTCCGGTTCCGTTTCCGTTTCCGTTTCCGTTTCCGTTTCCGACTCCGGTTCCGGATTCCGGATTCCATCTTTTCCATACGCCCGAGTTTCCCAGCGCCAACATCATCTAACTGACTTAAACTCGAACAATAAAAAAATTATAGAGTGACTCCCATGATCGAATCGCTTCGAACAACGCAAATAGCTTTCTTCAGGTTCGCAACGCTCTGTGGGTTTTTCAGGGGGAGCGCAGACGAGGTACAAAAAGTATCCGTGTAAGGCTCCGGGCAAGAGAAACTCATATGAAACCATTTGTGAGAACCTCGTTTCTCGGTACCAGACCCTCGTGTCTTCCCTCCCCAGGGAGGCCGTTTTTCGCCGCAGACGACCGAAAGCCTGGGCGCACAGGTAGCCCAGTAATGATGATCAGTAATGTAATATTGCGTTACATTTGACAGACGTTAAAACACAAACCCTGTTATATTCCTGTGTACGGTTGACTATGAAACTATAAATGCTATGTGGGAAAAGTCCTCTGGAGTGCCGCGGTGAAAGCTTCAACTTCGTAGGTCGGCCTCTGGCGAGATCAATTGCTTTCGACCGAGCCTTTTCAAGGTAAAGTTAAAACCTTTTAGTGGCCTTTTCTGCTTCTCGAAAGAATTTCTCATTTGCTTTATCTAAACGGGGACATAAATCTTCGCGCGTTTACCTGGAAACTTTAAAGGTAATATTCTCCTCCAGATTACTCAGGTTTACAGCTTAAATGCGGGGATTGGGATGGCATGCCTTAAAGAAACATGCGGCGGTTCTAGGGTATTTATTTTGCCTTCCAGCCTGTGGTTTTAAATCGTAAAACGATCGTGTCCTCTTTAATTCTTGGTTTTCTTTGCCCATTTCAAGGCATTGACGGTGAATGAAGGGGGGTCTTCTTTTTCAAAAATTACTCACTTATACCAGGTTTTATTTACTCGCATGTACCATTTATGGCGATAAAAAGACAAAAGATCAAGACGCGAGAGTGCATCACGGGTTTTTGTATAGTGTGGAAGCTAGCGGCTATGGTCAATTGTTTCGAGTATTATTTCTATTCCTCCCTTCCCGCCCAACGCCCCTTCTCCCGAAAAACAACGTTCAGATTTGAATTTAATGGCACGGAAAGTGTAAGATTGTGGTCCGTTAATACGTGACTGTCATTAATCCTACCAAGAAGGTTGCTAATTAACTACGAGCGGTATAAGAAATGAAAGAGGGGACGAAGTAAAAAACTTGTATTGAACATTGAATCGCCTTGGCTATCTTTACACTAATATGGAGACAAACGCAACGAAGACGGAGACAGAAGTGAAGAATCTAGTACAGGACGACGGAAAAGAAACCAAAACGTTATTTAAATTACATTGTACATATATAAGCCCTGCTTCAATGCTGTTGTACTTTGTTCTTTATAAAATCAAAACTGTTGAGGTCGAACTTTATTTTCTAGAGATGGGAAGTAGCTGAAAGTAGAAGCCAAGACAGATATTAAGACACATTGAATCGTTTTGTTCTGGTGTCAATGAGGACAATCCAGAACATTTTGCTAGAGACAGGTCCTCCCACATTTTCCGACATCTTCAACTCTCCTATTACTGTAGCAACCTTGCTATGCCAGTTGTCTCGCCATGATTGACCCCCGCAGGGCTACCACCGGCCAGTTTCTGACTAAAACTCAAAGGACTCCCACATTTTTTGCCAAAAAACCTAGTAGTCTGAACCAAGCCGTTATCTAAAATCTTTGCATTCTTTTGCAGTGTTGCATGGTGCTTTTTTTATTATTATTTTTTAATAGGACTGTATTTATCTTTTGCCACTTGCTAAGCAACCTGCATAGCTCCATAGCTCCATAGCTCATTAAATAGATATATGAATTCCTAAACAATCACGCTCTTTTGACAACTTGGCGTTTTTTAATTTAAAACATTATGGTTATTTCAGCTTGTTAGTACCTATAAGGAACTTTTAAGGAACTTTTTTCAGTGGAAAAAAGGGGAAAATTTTACAAAAGCCCTCAACAAACACTATTTATTGCCAATCCGCGTCTCTTCCGTGATCAACTCCTGGTTATTCGGAAAAGACTCCCTGGAGGGCGACTGGAAACGAGGAAGTCGAGTAAAACCTCATCGATCGCATATCAAATAATGATCAGTAATGTAATATTGCGTTACACTCGACAGACGTTAAGCGCAAACGAACCCTGTTATATTCCTGTGCGCAGTTGAATATGTAACTATAAATGATATGTGGCAAAAGTCCTCTGGTGTGCAGCGGTGAAAGCTTCAATTTCGTAGGTCGGCCTCTGGGGAGATCAATTGTTTTCGACCAAGCCTTTTCAAGGTAACGATGACTGCTTCGCCAAGATAAAACCATTTAGGGGTTACTTCTCAGCTTCTGGGAAGGATTTCACATTCGCTTTATCTAAAAGGTGACATACATGTAAATCTTCGCGTGTTTGGGTACCTTGTAAGTTCAAAGGTGATATTCTCCTCCAAATTAATCAGGGTTGCGGCTTAAAAGCTCGAATTGGGATCGCATGTCCTAAATAAACATCCGACGGTTCTATGGAATTTGTTTTTTGATCGTGCATATATAAAGCGTTTGTCCCAAGGGCAGTAAATAAAAGGTATTGTTGTTAATGTCGTTCTGGCTATGAAAAATAGGTGTCGCGATGTCTTAGGCCCCTTCCCGTCTGCACGTATCCAGATATTTTTGAATCAGCAAATTTTTCTGTGCGGATTCCAAAATTTCCACGTCCACACGCATTTACTATCCGTATTCAAATCGAAGTTAACCGTCCACGTATCCGGATGTCAGCTAATTTGCAAAACGATCTTCGGCTCCTGCGAAAATTTTATCACCAAACTTCTTCAATAACTGTTTCATTGACAAAATTGTCCTACCAGACACCATTTCCCTCGTTTAACTTGTTTACGGGGTCCAATTCGTCAGTCCGACATGGAAAGAAGCTTCAAAATGTCGAGCCGCTGGTTGGCATAATTGAAGTGTACAGTAATCATAGCTAGGCTTAACTATGGAGGCCCGTTCTGGTCAAAATTAATATAATAAAATGGTATCACAAGTGACTTTTTCGGTCAGTGCAGCATTTACTATGGACCCGTTGTGTATTTTTATCATCACTACACAGGATTTTTTTAGTGTGTTGTTATTTTTTTTTTAGCTGCATGAATTATTTTTTGTTAAGGCTGTTTACTGTTTTTATGTTGTTGTATGAATAAATTTTTCATGCGTACCACAAATAATTTTTTAGTGGTACCGCGAATTATTTTTAATACAAGTATTGAGAATTATTTTTTCAACGTGCTGATAATTATTTTTCGCTGTATCGCGAATTTATTTTTGGTTCTACAATGCTATGCGGGCCTTGCAGTTGAAGTGGACTGGTTCGAGTCTTTGACTTCCTTGAGCGACCACTTTGAAAACTTTGCAAGTGGAGGAGTGTTTTCAAAGAGAATGCCAAGGCGAAACACTGTCAGAGAACTGAAACGACCGAGGTTTTCATCTTTCTTACAAAATCTGTCAGGAGCTAGTAGTCTGTCGTTAGTGATGATGTTTTCTGGACCGAAGATTTAATAGAGGAGACTACGAAGCAGACAAAGGGACTTCACGACTCGTACACAATTCTAACCCTTATTCGGAACATGACATGTCTGCCCGATTGAACTGTTCTTTACCCGGTCTTGTCCTCGAATCTTCGTCTCGTACTACACATGCTGGTTTTCGGAACGAAGACGCAGAGAATGAGAGCCGCTACCCTGAAGTTCAGGAAGAAGCTCCCGATTCTAATCCAGGCGGGCGAGCACCAGAAGCAGAGCCAGATGGACTCGAGGGAGAAGCCCTAAGCTGAGTGCTAGTTAGAGTAGACCTCACTAAATGGGAAATTCGATTGATTTATCTAATATTTATGTTATGGCATTATTGGCTATATATGTCAGGTGTCTGACGTTGGACCGACTCATTCATCTCCGAATATCCTGTCAGGATTTGAATCGGGAGATTTTTTCTGAAGTTCAGGGTAGAGGGCATTCTCTTTCACAGCAATGACAATGACAATGCTTTATTTATTTGGAGTCTTATACAGTCCTATGTACTTTGACTTTATCCAAATAATTTAGAATCATAACACAAATTGCACACTAGTGGAACTATAATCAATGTTAACCTAAAGAACTAATGATCTTCTTTTCTCATAGCAGTCGAATACGTATTTTGCAATTAACTTTTGCACTGGTTTGTTCTTGCTCAGCATCTTCGTTCCGAAAGCCAGCGTGTGTGGTACGGGACCAAGACTCGACGTATAAGATTGGGTAGAGAACTGTTCAATTGGGGAGACATGTCATGTGCAATAAGCAGGGTGTCCAGCGGCATGGTTGCTCAAAAATATAGGAAAATAGGAGACTCAGCATTGAGAAAATAGGAAAAATAGGAAACTTTGTATTAAAAAATAGGAGGAAAATCAATAGTACTTTTGTGGACAAAGATAGCCTCCCTGCACCCCATCAGGGTTATAATAAATACCACGAGTCCTCAGATTCTACGTTCGCAGGATTGAGATCACCTTTCGCGGCTAAGAAGGAGTAAAAATGATCAGTAACGTTTTTATTGCCTCAGTTACGCTATAATCAGAATGATATGCTTGACTGCAGGTCGAGCGTGGTTCTATAATCATGAGTGATCATATGCAAATTCCCCTCAAGTTGGCGGCAAATCTTTGAAAAGCTTTGAAGAGTGAAATTTCTTAGTATAGAAATTTCTTACGATTGAGTTGTCATTGAAGGATATCGAACTAGAACGTAAAAGTCTTATGGAAAGCTTTCCTTCCATTAATCTGCAATCGGTAGCTGGTTGAGAATATGCTTGTTTGAGTCAAAACACCGCATAATTTTAAGTACGAAACCAGGCTTTCTGCGGTGTACGCAAAATGACACTGATCTGTTTGGTACCAGATTGTAAGTTTGTCATGGTTAAGTACTAAGAAGAACATAACACTGCTTAGCTATGACTGCAAGACCGGTTTTGCAACCAAACTATTGGATCCTTCATCAGTTGCTTAGGTATAGCTGTTAACAAGGGCTCACCAAGAGAGCTAGCGCCGTAAACTAAACTTTAGTCTGTTCTTTTCATATAGCATCCAGAATCAGCTAGTGATCATGATTGGTTTTTAAAAACAAGATGTTGATTGGATTGGCCTGTGTTGTGAGAGGACAACTTGATCCTGTTTTCAGTTTCAAAGATGAACATAAAAGCGAGCAAGACTTCAAGCAATATATCAAACATGAGATGCAGTGTTTCTTCACCAGATGAAACACCGAGAAGAGAGTTGAAAATACGACGCGCAGCGGAGTATTTTTGACGAACTTCGAGGTGTTTCATCTGGTGATGAAACACTGTGTCGAATGTTTGATATTTCTTCTCAAACAAAATCATTTTTGAAGGAGAAATTAAGGATGCAAATACTAAGCAGTGTTTCATCCGATTTCCAAACACTCATTAAACATTAATTTCCTTTGTATTTTCTTAATGAATTATTAATGATTTGAGAAAATAAAATATAACATGTACAGATACTGAAATGCAGTTTCAGTGGGCTATACACAATATTAGTCAATAGTCAGGAGGAGAACTATAACACTGCATACAATACATGTACATGTAGGTTAACAAAAATGTTAGTAGAACTCTAACAGGCAATAAAGGTCGTGGAAAGAACAAACGTAACTGTTATTTTTACTAATATTAGAATATCAAAGTCAACATACTACTTGCTTTATGATAAATTTCCCTCAAAAACACATACAATTATAATTTCATTTTCAATTTTGTTACAAATTTTGCCTTCACCGGCTAAAAAATAGGAAAAATATGAGGTTTTAGTTTTAAAATATGAGAAAATAGGAATAGGCTCAAAAAATAGAAAAAAAAAAGGAACTGGACACCCTGAATAAGGGTTAGAATTGTGTACGAGTCGTGAAGTCCCTTCGTAGTCTCCTCTATTAAATCTTCGGTCCAGAAAACCTCATCACGAACGGCACAGACTACTGGGTCCTAACAGATTTTGTAAGAAAGATGAAAACCTCTTTTGTTTCTTTCCCTGACAATGTTTCGCCTTGGCATTCTCTTTCAAAGCACTCCTCCACTTCAAAGTTTTCAAAATGGTCACCCAAGGAAAACAAAGACTCGAACCAGTCCACTTCAACTGCAAGGCCGGCAAAGCATTGTAGAACCAAAAATAAATTCGCGATACAGCGAAAAATAATTATCAGCACGTTGAAAAAATAATTCTCAATACTTGTATTAAAAATAACTCGCGGTACCACTAAAAAATTATTGTGGTACGCATGAAAAATTTATTCATACAACAACATAAAAAAAGTAAACAGCCTTAACAAAAAATAATTCATGCAGCTAAAAAAAAAAAATAACAACACACTAAAAAAATCCTGTGTAGTGATAACAAAAATACACAACGGGTCCATAGTAAATGCTGCACTGGCCGAAAAAGTCACTTGTGATGTCATTTTATTATATTAATTTTGACCAGAACGGGCCTCCATATTTAACTGCACACACGTTATAAAACTGAAGTCTAAAAAGTAAAGAAGCGATAACATTGCGCTCGGCACCGTCTTGAACATTCATGGTGGACTCGATCTTGTGACTTCACTGGATGAAAAAAAGAAACGGTATCCGGATTTAGCGTCCACACGATTCCGGATTCATACCGTATATTAAAAAATTTCCGCTCTGGAGAGCGGATTCGTATGCCGGATTCACCGGATACGTGTGGATGAAAGCCGAAACCGCAAAGAAAAAGTTGCGGGTTCAAAAATATCCGGATACGTGTGGACGTGGCTTTGATTGTCCCTTAAACATTCCCAGCTTCATATCTGCTCTGGGCAAGGTGAGCATGGGTATTCCTCGAAATGAACTACTAAATGCGCTTGCTAATATTTAGACTGAGTTCCCGCTCGGTTTCCTCATCTTGTAAACTTTTATGGCTGCTCATGGCAAACAGCCAGTTTTTTCCCGCAAGAGGTTCTTCCGCTTTTGCAAATGTTGTGTGTAGCATTCTGATGAACACCGATGAGATAGCGGTGGGTGAGGATTTCAAAAGAGGCTTTTTTCGTTATTCCTTTTAACTTCAGATCGTATTCAAAGCTTAGGTGTCCACGAGTTTAAGGTATTATTTTCGAAACTTGAGTACCGTATCTTTAGTTTACACTAGTCAAATAGGTGCTTGATTCCCTTGGTTTACCCTGCGTATCCCCTTCGGCGCATAACATTGCGACAGAAAAGGTGGTGGCGATAATTACTCGTAATGGGTACACGAAAAACATTGTACAAGGTAAAATTTGGACAGTAGAAGTTGTTAACTTATAAATATCGTGAAAATCTGCATTTGGAGCCACAGAGGAGTACGAGATGATCATGTAGCGATCAAATTTTCTTATCCTGCATGTATTTGCTAGATCGGCAGATTGAAATCACTGCAATGTCAGTTTATAGCGCATACAGACAAATAAGGTCTACAATGGTCTCACTAACATTCAAAAATTTTTGTTATAATTATAATAACAATTTTTGACGGTTGTTTAAGTTTCGAGCATTTTGTGGGACCCTCAGGCCTGCCGAGAAAAAACAATATATTGGAGTTTTCCAATGTCCTATACATGGATGTCAATTGTGTCAAGTTTCAAAAACAATGTAGGCAGCATATCCTTTTCAAGGGAATTGGCTTAACAACGCTTGTGTTTCTTTTTTTTTTTTTTCTTTTAAAAAAAAAGCAGGCTGGTTTGGTACAACTACTGATGAAATGGGGTGTGGCTCATTTAGAGGAATTGGTAAGTTCATTATACTTTTCAAAAGTTCTTCTTAATTATTCCTTCGTCTGGACCTAGCCCTTCTACGTCTACACTTTGTTCTGTGCATGTTAGTCTCCTAGAATCTTTATGTTATTCAGACTTACCACTGATATTTTTTCATCAACAATAAAAGGGAAAACTCTTTTTATTTTCACACATTATAGCGAAGCTTGCGCAAAACGCGTGCAGCGGAGCGCCATGGGTAAGAAAAAATGGTAACCTGTGGAAGTGATGAATTTTGTAAGTCAAGTGACCGTCCTTCCGTCCGTCCGTCCGTAGATCCGTCCACCCCTTACATGTGACCAATGTCAAATGTCACACTTGCTACCTATAAGACATAAAATGACAACACCTTGTCAGTTGTACACGCCGTCCATAAGTGGTTGAATTGACAGCTGTCAAGATCGGGTAATCGCTGACAAACATCACATGACCGTCTCGTGGGCTCAGGTAAAAAGACCTGTCCTTTCGCCCCTACATGTTAGCCGATGTAAAATGTCACGCTTACCGACACAGAAATGAAACTACGTTTTCATTATTTTAAAGTTATGAATGAACATTAACTGCAAAGGACCGCAAACGAATATGTCCTAGAACATCGGATCTATAGAACAGCTGATCTGGAAAAATGTACCAAGTAAACACTTTGAAATCTGCAAAGCTGATCGTTCATTTTGAATGTTGTCAATGTTTTACATTCAAAAGATGCAATAAAATTCACACTGATGTATACTAGTCGTGGAGGTATGTATGGTGCGCATGGTATGTTTGGAAAAAATAGCACAGCATCAAAACAGTGAATGTTGTTGTTGTTCGAAGACGAAATAACATATTGGTCGATGGATGTTTTCTACTTTCTTAGGTGTACTATGCAAGAAAAAAACCTGTGCTTATATCCTGAGTGCCAGACTGTGCCGAGAAATAGGCCAAAGTTAAGAAGAAATTCTACGAGGTTGTTAAGAAGTTAGAAAGATTGTAAATGAATAATAAAACAAATATTGAATAATTCGGCTTTCGAAGGATGTAAAGAATATGAAGATCTGGGAGGATGTTATCCACCTCGACCTATCAGATAGCTTATTCTCACTTGAAGGTTTTAGAGAGCTTTGCCCTTTTTAACTGCACAAGAAAATACAACCGATTTGAAGCCTTCTTAACTATATCATTGATGATTAAATATTGAACCTCGGATAATACATTTCTCGTATTCTGATTGGTTCACTCAATCTCGGTTATCAGCTCATATACTTTAGTTTGACCTTATATGGAAAACAACAAAATTTTTCTCGGACAAAGCGGCGGAAAAAAGTAGATTTCGCGAGCTTTCTACCGACTAAACAACAGAAAAATAAACAGAAAATGCCATACCGGCAGCGACAAAAAAGTCACAAACTTTGGTTTGAAATTATTTAATGGTACTCCGAAGTTTCCTTACGATTTTTAAGAAATCATAAGCTTTAAAATTCTTCCGTACGCCGAGCTGATTACAGTGGGGAACTTAAGAACCACGACGAAGTTCACGACGACGACGTCTGTTGACTGGGAGAAAACTGGAACGAGAACGTCAGTTTCGGCGGGAAAAAGGAAAGTTAAGATGCAAACGGTCCTTAGGTCGACGACGACGACACTGAATGTAAACACAAATGTAAAAATGTGATGTTCGTTCGCAACAAAGTTTTCGCAATGGCGTCTTTTAAAACAATACAATATCTTATTTTTAAGCCGTACGTTTAATTTCATTAACGATGAAGAATTTTTTGTGTTGTCTGACCTTTTAGAGTGGAAAAACACCTACTTTCCATATGAAATTATTCAACTTTCAACGTGAATGAGATGACCGAGTCCGAGCGTCTGTCAGAGTTTAGATTTCGAAAGAGAGACATTCTGATGTGTTAGCTGTTTTCCATATAAAGTTTATTTCCTCTATATTAAAGATATATGATTTGCCTTACCTAAATACGTACAAATAAATTTATCACTTACGAGTTCGCTCGCTCGGCCTCCACAGCTATTGTCATTCTTCGAAGTAAAATCAATTCAGTAGTCGAATTTTCAATCAACATCGCTTGTTAGGAGAAAAAAGGAACGATACCTGGATTCACGAGGATAGGAAAATGCAAAGGACTTCAAAAATCGCTTAAAACAGTGGATTTATACCAGCCGAAGCTTGTGGATTGCAAGACGTGATTCTACTTTGTTTGGCGTCGTCGACGACACCACGACGAGAAAATTTACTGGTCGCGCTTCCGCAGTACACTCTAACTCACTTCCAGTCGTCGTCGACCAAGTCGTCGTCTTAAGTTCCCAAATAATGTAATAACAACAACAACAACTACAAAGTTTACTTTAAATATTTTCAGAATGGCTTACAAGTCCTTGCAGGAGTGAGTTTTGCGTGTTTGAAGAGCTTTTACGCCTCTTAACACTTTCGCGAGTCCATAACGGACCATAACGGGCCTCAAGTGAATCCTACAACGAGCGGCTTTCCACTGAATCAGGTTGAACAACAACAACAACAAATTGATTAATGAAGCTGGGTCTTTGTGCAGCTCCGATTCAGTGGAGGAAGAAAACGAAATTGAAGAGCAATCAGGTGGACCTATCCAGCGTCAAATTCAACAGTCACTGCGAGGGAAAGCGAAAACAGTCCATGTCGAGAATAGTTTAAGCACAGCGAACTTCCCTTTCAGATTTCTCATTCAACTAAGTTCGCAAACGGCGCACAAGTCATGTGATTTTCCTTTCGTTTACCGGAAGTTACGCTAGTATCCATCCTCGGAGACCCAGGGGCAGTTAGTCGGGTCGATAAAATGTCCGTGGTGAAAGTTTACTGTAAGCTAGTATCCGGTCGTATTGTAATATTTAAAATGAAATTTACTAAAATTCAGTTGTAATAACCAGACATTTGGAGTTTTAAAAAAATAATAATAATTTAAAAAAAAAAAAAATTATTTCATTTGCGCTTGTTGGATATGAGATAGTTATAGCCTCATATCCAACGTGCGCTTATGGAATAATTGTTAAATAAACAGCCAGGCTGCCGTGCTTGGAAACGAGGTTGATCGATGGTATATCATGATTTATACCATCGAATCGATAGTATATTGCTCGTATCAAGCGCTAGTTGATCAGTTTTTGTCTGAGGCAAGTTTTGTGATCTGTCGTCGGTGGCATCTGTGAAATTCGTCTTTAAAGTAAGAAAATTTGTAAAAATGTACGCGACAAACCATCCACACTTGTTAAAAGTTGGTGTTGACAAAAAGTATGCCTAAATGACGGCTTTGAACTGCTATTGCGGGTAGGCTATATTTCTCAAAATTTCTCAAAAAAACAGCGTTACGTGACGACACTAAAAACGGCTGCAAAGGAGACTTGGCACAGATATGAGCTTTGAAATATTATTTTTCAAAGCTGAAACGTTGCTTTTTAAAGCAACAGTGAGAATGGAGACCTTTGGCAATGAATGACCTTATGAATTTAGGTCTGACTCCACACTACGCGTAGGTAGAACAAAAGTAAAATGCGTTTTTCCGTTTTCCGATCCTCAAAAGTACCTAGCCAGTAGCTCATCGCCCTCTAAATGATCACTGATAAAGGTTTCCTGCTCCAAGTACCGATCTAGATAGAGTATAAAATAAAAACACATTTCCGTTCTGAATTTTCAAAATAAAAATTCCAATAACCATTCCTTACCTGCCATTTGTCCTCTACGTCCTCTGTAGTCATTTCAAATGTTCTCTTTAAAGATAACGTTATCTAAAGAAACGACGGGCTCAGGGTAAGGGAAGTCTAAGATCTTTGACACTCTTGCCAACCCCCAAATGGCAAAAATCTCGAGGTTCTGAAAAGTGGTAGAGATGTCCTAAATTTCTTGGTGTAAGGGCTTCTGCAGGCATTATGGGTATTCAAAGTCACGTGTCATGAGCACGTTTGTTGGCTGCCATCTTGAAATGAGAGATTTAGTTTTTTTGACATTGAGTCTTCCCATTTGGTGCAGCGGCAAGTTGCGGCGGGCCGAAGAATGTAAACAATACCCCACCAAGTTAACAATTCACATTAATAAAACGCAACACCGCTAGGCGTTTACCTTTGGACTGAATTTGCTATCCAACATATGAAAACGAACCCTACAGATGCTCTAAACGTTTTAGGTGTGTGACTTTTCAAGACTAAAAGTGTGGGAAATCAGTTGTCAACTCGTGAGAGCGTGAGATAGGTCGTGAAATCGTGAGACTCACTACAAACTCGTGAGACTTGGCAAATCTGTTATGTATTTCCATATCCGAACCTGGGGTCAATTTAATAAAACTGTTACAAGTATAATTTACAAGTGTAGCCATTGTTTAAGAGTCTGAAAACAATAGCTACACTTGTAAATTATACTTGTAAAAGTTTTATTAAGTTGACCCTTGAACCAAACTTCCGAAAATCGAGTAACTGTTTCTTTCTGCTAAATAATCGTGCCCAGTCTTCTCATGCATTCAGATTAGGTTGCCTTCTCCTGAAGTCGAACGCAAAAGTACGTCTGTGCTGCCTGTGTTCCAGCTTGATGAAAAGTGCCTATTTTGTAGGTTTTTTTCCCCCTGGCATGCAAACCTGCTATAAAAATAAATCATTCTTGGACTGTCTAGAATACCAGTCGTCCCTCACTTTTGTTCAGGAATAGAGCGAGAAAGGCGAGACGCTGCTTCGGGTTAAGCACCTTTGAAATAACGTCTTTCGCCAGAAAAAAGGACCCTTTTGCTTGCTACTTATTGAGTGGGGTGTGTCATTTTCAAGCCGTGCAACAAAGGAACATGCTGTCCATGCATGTCAAATAGTTACAACACCGCACAGCGCTACTCACTGATTGACAGCTAGCCGGAGCGTCACCTATTTTGTTTGAAGTCGTTTCCCTGTTGTTGTACAGAAATCTTATTTTCGTCCGATAGAGACCCCCTCTTGTTTGTTTGGCTGTGCTTTAATAAGTGTTTTTCAAGATAGCGGCTACTGGCTACCGATCATGACCGATCAGTGAAGGCAAAAAAAGAGGGTAGGCAGAATTTTACCTTTTTTTGTCGACCTTATCAGAGATATATGCACAGTGC